GACATTGCAACAAAATGCCATTCTGTTTTATGCCGGAGGCCCATCAAACTATGGAGATTTCACTCTAATTGAAATTAAGTCTTCGAAATTAAAAGTGGTGGTCAATTTTGGTAGCTTCGTCGGTCCAGGTATGCTTCACAGTCAGTTCGCTACCATTTGCAATCATGTATACCTACACATTTTTTGGCGCGTTGCCCTCAGTATTTATAAGGGCGTGTTCATACCACCCCATCCCACTTTTCTTCAGGACCAATTTTGTAATTCTTCCGAAACTGAGGAGAAACTGGGGGGGGGGGCAAAACATCTTAATGTTTTCATCCATGACAAAAAATATACCAAATCTATGGCTTTCAGATTATCATAAAACAGGTCCAAAATGCATTGAATAGCGTTTTGCAGACAGCCCAAAAAGAAAAATGTTCCGGAAACCATGCCCCTCGGATCCCCCGGTTGTTCTGTGTATTTTACGATTGCCCCCTCTCTCCCCTCACTTCTTTGGGGAAGGCTACGCCTCTGTGTTTAAAGAGTTTTTCTCAGGGTCCTAGGCATTCACCATAATTGATTAACTAACCCTCGCAGACCTTTGTCAATACGTCAGTGTGGTAAACACATCAAACTAAACCAAACTAAACTCAATTAAACTAACAAGATTCGCTTTTCGTAGGAACTAACTATACTGCTACATCAAGCGTGGAAATTAACGATGGCAAGTGGCATTTCGTCGAATATGCAAAAGAATCCAACTATTTTACACTGAAGGTTGACATGATATCGACAAATGTTCTCCTGAGATCCATAGGTTTTAGAAAAATGGACTACGATGACCATTCCTTTTTGGGAGAGATTGCGGAGACGCCGTACAAACATGATATAAAAATTCAAGATTTCGTTTGGAAAGTGAGATGGGACACTGTTAATTTTGTGACTGGTTTGTTCCAGACATATGAAGATTACAACGCATATTTTCGTGTGCTACCTGAATATGTTTTACCAATTTTCAACAGAAAGTTACCTAGAACGGCTCAACCACTAAACTATAAAATTACCAGTTCTACTCCCAAACCAATGTCAAATACTCCCACGCCTTCGAAACATCGTTGTACTGAGGGCCCCTGTTCCAGCAAAGGTATGATTTAGTTGCTGTTTTGCAGTACAGGTATTTTATACATGGTATGAAGATTTCTCATTTGGAGATTTCTCAAGGCCTATGACAACAACAGTGACAACAACTACAACGAATGATAACTACAACTACAACTACAACAACGGCAAGAACAGTAACAACAACAACAACAACAACAACAAAAACAACAACAACAACGGCAACAACAACGGCAACAACAACAACGGCAACGACGACAACGACAACAACGACAACAACGGCAACATCAACAACAACGGCAACGGCAGCGGCAACAACAGCGGCAACAACAACAGCGGCAACAACAACAACAACGGCAGCAGCAACAACGGCAGCAGCAACGAAAGACGACGACGACAATCTTTAAAACATCAACTTGAGAAAGTTGGTTGTAAGACTTCACAGTTTCTTTTTCACACATTTTAGACGAAAGTAAATTCTATGTGGTGATTGTTCTGGTGAATAATTGTCGCGGTGATGTACTTGTCACGACGAACGTGTCTGGTCAGTTGAAAATCGACCATCTGAAACCAACAAAAACAGTGGTCAAAAGTAAAAGATGGAAGACAAAAAAATGGTTGAGTGTAAGTGTAGTCGATGCTACCACCAACCGAACGGTTGACATCAATGGACACTCAGTCATTCATCTGGAACCAACGATTAAGAAGCTTATTTCGCTGAAAGGTTTGTATACAGCTGATTCAATTAAGGTTGTCCTTCCAAAACCTTAAACCTTAAACTCTGAGCGCGCAAGGGATGATGGGTTTTTACCTATTAGGCCCTTAAACTCAGACAATTGCCTTTGCAGCAAGTAATGTTTTCTGTCGTGAGTTCTATATGTCTCAGGTATTCTTGCAAAGCCAAATTTCAAAGTTTATGAGTCTAAATAAGCAATAACCCATCATCCCTTGCGCGCTCAGAGTTTAAAGTTTAAGTTTTGGAAGGACAACCTTAATTGAATTAAGCCTAGTTCACATAAAATCGTTAAGCAGTCGCAGACAGTCGCAGACTGTCGCAGACTGTCGCAGACATGTGCCGAATTTTTGCATGAACGATCTGCGATGGATCGGGAAAGTTGAACCAAGTTCAACTTTTCCGATCCGTCGCCGCGAATCTGCATTTGTGTTCATATAAAAATTCGGCACATGTCTGCGACTGTCTGCGACTGCTTAACGATTTTATGTGAACCAGGCTTTAGCTGTATCCAAAGTACAGTAAATACTATTTGCTTAATCAATATGCTTATTTGCAATTTAAGTTTTATAGTAGCTAATTTTATAGTAGCGAAAAACCTCTTTTTCGCTGTTCCGAAATATTGGAAGCTTTAACGAGCTCGTGAAGTAAATTATGTCCAGTTACACGGTAATTTGGAACATTACCATGCAACTGGACATAATTTTCTTCACGAGCTCGTTAAAGCCTCCAGTGTTTCGGAACAGCGAACAAGAGGTTTTTCGCTACTATAAAATTTAGCTACTATAAAACTGAAATGATTTGCCCAAAAATATATACCATTTAAGAAATAACTGACAAAACAAAGTTATAGCAGAATTTTTTCATTCAGTACAATATAATTTTCCAACCAGTCATTTCTCTTATTTCTTGACTAGCCCCAAAAATGGTGGATCGAAGTATTACGCGAGCTACTACAACTCCCCAAACCAATACTTTCTCGAATCCATCTCGAGCCAATGATATCCAGCGCAAATTTCCTGCCGAGAGAATCGTTTCGACAGAAACTGATCCTGTTCAACCTTTGACAGCCGAATTTGAAAAATTTAAAGATTCATTTAGTGCTACTGAAGGAAAAGGACGACAAGGTAACACGTCTCATCTTCTTAAACAGGGTTTCCCTTTTCCTTTCCCATCTCATCTTCTTAAACAGGGTACACCACGCAGTTTCCCTTTCCCCTACGCGTGTCCTCCCGCGCGTGCGTCACGCGACATCAAAGCACCATCAAAGTACCTGGTACGAGGCTGGTCCAGTGAACTCTAGCTGGTCACCAAGCTTGTCTTTCAAGCTCCGAGACCCCGCGGGTTCAATCTTTGGTCGGACGTCTGTTCAAGGTATAAAAATAATTGAGGAGAGATCCCCTTGGCAATAGCCTGTTAGGAAATCCGCTCACCAATGAGTGAGAAACTCAATAAAATAACCTCAAAAATGGGTGAAAATATATAAACCAAAAAATCTTTGCATTGCATATTTGTTTTCGTTGTGACTTTGCATGCACCAATGGTTTCGAATTCTGATTGATTTTTCTTTGTTTCCCAGTCATTGGTCAAGATGCCAATACCGACACTGGATGAACAGATAAAGCGAGGGGTATATATTAATCTCGAGCGCTTGAAATTGGAATATCGGAACGGTATATTTGAATGATAACAAATTGATTTGAATAATTATTTACTGAACTCTATATAGTAAATGTGATTCGCTTGTAGTCGATAAAATCAAATTAGCTACGTTAATTACGACAGAGATCAATAATTTTGAATAACACCTAATGAAAATATTTGCAACAGTATACTATAGTACTGTATATGCGTGCTAGTTTGTATAAGTAGTGCAAGTTATGCACAGGGTGTCTAAAAAAAAACGCTATGGAAATTCAACAGGCTGTCGACTGTCGTGCATCATAAACGTGGCTAAACAATTCAATATTTAACATAGGACGAAAGAACAGTTATTTAGCGTTTCAATGGCACTCTTTTTAAATCGTAACGATGAGAAATGACCACATACTCGCCAAATAAAAATTGCCGGTCGAAATCACATTCTTCCACCGTTGGGAGTTGCATGGAAAACGAACAATAAACAATTCCCAAGAGGGAATTAAAATTGAATGTTAAATTATCTAAAATAAGCTCAACTCGACAATCTTTGTCCTAGTGAGACCATAAGAACGTCCATTATTGCATTAAACATGGTTCCATTAACCACTGAACAGAGAACATTCGTAATCAAAACGTTTTACGAAACAAGTACCTTGCAGAAGGCTCGCGTTGCTTTTGGATTGATTAACTTTGCATAATTAATGTATTTTCAATTCCCAACGGTGGAAGAATGTGATTTTGACCAACAATTAATTTTTATTTGACGAGTATGTGTAATGTGGCCATTTCTAATCGTTACGGTTTAAGAAAGGTATCATAGAAAAGCTAAATAACAGCTCTTCTGTGCTATGTAAAAATTGAATTGTTTATCTAAGTTTATGATGCACGACAGCCTGTTGAATTTCCATAGCGTTTTTTTTTTAGACACCCTGTATAACTAGTTCACTTAATAATAAATTTAATACATTCTATGATTTACTGCGATAGCGAATTGTTAAATTTGTAGCTACTTCATAAGTCTGTAGAATTTCTTGAAATTTCATTTTTCATAAAAAAATATTTTTGTGCTTGTTTGTTGTTGGATCGGTTCCTATTTTTTTCGCAGTGAATTTTTTCGCAACCAATCACATTTCCGAAATTTGTTTCATCTAGTGGAAAACCGACCCATGGGTATAGATGATCTTCTCTCGGCGAGAAAAATTGCCTATATAGAGCGTTAGACGGAGTAAGATAATAAAATAGGGCGCATTGCCACGTATGGGTTAACTGGACACATCGGCAGACCCATTGAGTGGCAGCACTCTCCATTTGACGAGTAAAATAATAAAGTAGGACGCATCAGGACGCATTGCCACTTAAAGGCCGGTTAATGATTGGAAAGCACGATTCCATGATAAAATTATAAGCAAAAATGAAGTTTATATACATTGGTTAAAAATGTTAAAACTTCAAAAAACTACGTTTTCAAACAGATTAATCGTTCTTCATCAGGTTATTTTAACACAACATCATTATTTTAAAATAGCCTGACGAAGAACAGTTAAACTGCCCGAAACGTACTTTTTTAAAGTTTTAACATTTTCAATTTTGATATTCCCGTTTGAAAAGGCATTCATGTTTTTGAAAATTTTTATTTTGACAAGTATAGTTCACACTCTGGTTAAAATCCCTGGTTAAACGTCTTTGGTTTACCCAGAAATAACCCTATTTGGTCAAATTAACTAGGCAATAGCCAGGTTAAAATAACCCAAATAGGATTATTTTTAGGTAAACCAGGAAATTTCAACCAAAGTGTTTTTACAGGTAAACTACGTGAAGCGTTCCTCTTTTGACTTCGTATCTCATTTGGAATTTTCCTCATTAGCTTTGCAAATTTGAAAAACTCTTTGCAAATCCCTTGAGGGAATTTGCAATATTCCTATCGGTTGTTGTAGTATTCCAATGGCAACAAACTTCATTTTAAATTTTCCTAACTTCCTGTCATTTAATTTCCTAACTTCCTGTTCTGTTCTGAGCGTTGTTATTGGTCGATTATTTTTGTTAGCCAATTGCAACGCCAAGAACAGAACAGGAAGTTAGGAACTTGTAACAGGAAGTTAAGAACTTCTAACAGGAACTGAGAAAAATTTAATTGGCTTTAGCAACATTGCAAGTTTTAGCAACATTGCAGTTTTTTAAATTGCAAAAGTAATGAGGAAAATTGCAATCAATTTAGAAACTCGAAAGAGGAACGCTTCACGTAGTTTACCTGTAAAGTGCAGTGCTCTTCCGTGTTATTATAAGTAATAGCATGGCATTCAGGGCGATTAGTGATTAAATGTACCCGAAAGCCGATCTCGAGGCTTGAGGGACATTTCATCACTAATCGACCGTAATGCCATGCTATTACTTTGTAATATCATAGTTAACGAGGGAATCGCGCGTGGTGTGTTGCCTGTTTTGAATGCTGTTTGATTGTCTGATGATTGTGGTACGAACAACACTTTTCATATATACGCACGCGCAGAAACACATCTCCGCGTTCATTGGCGTTTTAGGCATGCGCATATAAAACGGAATTTTCTCCCACAATTGAAATGTTCAAGATTAGGGAATAAAAGCTGGCAAAGTGATTGTTCGAATGTGTACGGGACGGTGTCGTCAGATACTGTCCATAGTTGTGCCGATGATTTTCGATGAGGTACAGCTCTCCAATCAGAGGTAATGAGGTACGCTTTTGTCTTCTAAATTTCCCTCATCAAGCATGCAGGGGAAAATTAGAAGACAAAGAAATCCTTTGTTTTCAACTAAATTTCCCCGGGAAATTTAGAAGACAAAAGCGTATACATGGGTAATGAGGGAAATACGTGATTAAACGTCCCTGTTGTAACAAAAGAAACCGAGTTAACTATGATATTACCAAATGAGCCGCATGATACAAATAAAATTCCTTTACCAGCAGAAAATTTTAAAGAATATAAAAAAAACAACTCCAAATGATAATGCCATCGTTGTACACAAAATCAAGATTGAATTATTTAAAGAAAACAAGATACAAATCATGGTGTGGATATTTTGACTTCTATGTTTCAGGGTACCCTTTGACAATGACCCTGATATAGAGTCGTAATATCACCAGCATAATTTGTGTCTTATTTTCTTTAAATAACTCATATCTTGAGTTAAACAAGATGGCATTATTATTCGGAGTGTGTTTTTTTTTCCTGATATACAAGTCAAACCTTATTGAATCACATTGTGGTGAAATTTTAATTTTAAACAACGTACAAGTGATACATATTATTTCAATGAAGGTACATAAAAGCATGCGTGATCAATCTATATCCCATGTTCATCAATAAAATCCTGTACAGTCCTCGAATTCATAGGAAATGTTTTAATCCGGGAGGTACGGTTGTAGAACCTGCTTCATGGTCTTTGGACTCCAACGTGTTAACTGATCCTGAAAAAGAGCAAGATAGATAAGTGCTTGTTTTCCAAAATTCCACAGGAAAACATGCTACAGTATCGTAATAATTACACGAATAATTAAACTTAATATTCTTGAACATTTTTCATTTTTGAACAATGTTTTTAATGAACTCTTAACATTAATATTGATTTCCAATATGGTAAAATGGTAAATTAGTAAAAAGTACGATGTTCAATATTTACCACTAATGCTACTATATTAGCATGGTACTTTATTTTTTCCTGTGCACAGGAAAATATCATTAATGGTCGAATATTAAACATCACGGTTTTTATCAATTTACCATGATATGAGTACTCTATAATAACCAATAATGGTAAGAATCGAGTTTTTACATTCTGATAGAAAACATAGTAAATCTTTAAAAACCATTCAAAAACCATCGATGGAAATTAAAATTTTTTCCCTGTGAATGCAACTTTAAAATGGGTTAATTAAAATATTTAAAATATGACTTTGACAAAAAGTATAAGAATATGTACCTGTGGCAAACAAAGACATATATTTGATACTTTGAACAACGAGAGGGTGGAACCACGTGACTGTAATAATGTGAAAAGAACAGAAAATAACATTAATTGCAATATCCAATTATTATATACTGTATTTTTTTACATTTTCAAATTGTTACATTAACACACTTTATCCTGCTATAACCTGCCCTCCAAGCAAAAAAACAGGCAGACTAATTATAATAGAAAAAATTACTAACAGTACAGTACCTGCCAATGTTGGTGATCCAGGAATAAGAACATATTCTGTTCTGGGTTGTTTACAACAATATCTTTCCTCATGTTTTTGCCATGGAAATGAAATAATTGCTTCTCATAATCATGAACATTGTTTTCAAATTTTGCCTAAAGTTCAGAATGATGTTATTGTAGTATATTTAGAGGTGCGGGTCATTTTGGTTTACCATTTTGAGGCGAAGAGAAGTCTTGGGTTACTATTAAGCAGGTTTTTACAACAGGCAGGCCATCACATATCTTTTACAGGGCTGTCTGATAAAATGTCCAATGACTTTAACTTTGGGACAGACATATGTATTATGTTGTCCGATGACTTTCAGTTCAGTTTGGCTTGGAAATAATAAGCAGTAAGAGAAGTAAGACCACCCATCTTGTTTTAGACTGGCGAACAGCAAATTTTGCCAGCGCTAAGAAGACATTTGACAGCCGTTCGCCAGAGGCTGTGTGTAATTCGCCGGTACTTGCAGTCATGACAAGCTGAAACTTTTCGCCCAGTCTTGCACTCGGACAATAAATCAAATATACAAAGCTTGCAAGCCTTTACCCACCACTCAACTCACAGGGCTCATCAATTAATAGCCGGAGCCTCACTAGAGCAAAACAGTATTGGTCATACCCAAATTATTATTAGCCAGGACTTCAAACAGATACTTGAAGGGCTGTAAGACTTTGACAATTCAATTCACTTCACCATATCGTATATAACATAATCATATTTTAAGGCCTGACAACAATCATTACACTAACTTCAATGTGCTTAAACTCAGCTTCACTGTCATCCTTCCATCGTGAAAACAAAAAGCATGTTACTCCCTCCAAGTCATTTCTAGGCCACAAAATGAAATCCATATCTCGAGTACACCCAAGCACATCCTGCAAAAATGTTATGTGGAACTTTGTGTCAGACATATGAACGCATGGCATAACTCTGCCTTTTATTGCTGAGTTGTAGTTGGATGGTACATGGGAGCCATACATGTATACAGTAAACCACATTCATTTTATGTGCATTCTAATATAATTAAGCATTCTTTGCCTTGTTCTATGAAGGAAATTGAACAGAATTTTAGAACCTGACAGAGGCAAAGGATTATTATTACAATGCACATAATTTATTTATTTAAATTTAATTTATAAAAACAAAGTACAGCATGTATGCCTCATAATTTTTAGTTTTTATTGGGTAACTCTCATACATGTGGAATTGCCCTAATATGCTTTGTCCTGGCCATACATGTTTAATAGTTTAAATGAATATAATTTATGTTCTCACTTTTCTTAAAGAGCGATATTGAGGTGCATAAAATTGGACCATGTCTTTCTCCAGTAACTCCAGTGAACTATCCATTGAATAGACATTGTCCTAAATAGAAAATTTATTCCATTACAGCATCCCAACATGTTATATCTGAGTAATGTACTGTATATCAAGGTGCATGGGTAAATATCGGTTTTTTGGGCATCTAAACTTGATATACCTAATTGTTGAAGGGTTTGCAGATCAAAAATTTGAGTGTGAATTTTGTACAATTATTAGATTATTAATTTTTTTTCAAAAAATACAACCATAGGCAGGGATTGAACCTGCAGCACTGCGATTCCAGTGCAGCGCTCTAACCATCTGAGCTACAGAGACCAGTTGTCGAGCTCTAACTGCAAGTTCATTATTATTAAGATATGAGCAGCAACACTCTCCCCTTGACAAGTAAAATTGCTTGTTGTTAGACAGAGTAAGATAACAAAGTAAGGTGCATTAGGCCCGGGTTAGAAGGCAAACTTTTCATGCGCCGAATCTAATTGCCGTAGGTATGGCAAAATATTGGAAACTGATTTAGACGTCGAACTTAATTGTGCCGTACCAAATTGTGAGGACACTATATTGGACATATTTACAATGCAAATATATGATAATCATATTATAATGTTAAAAAATATAAGTATGCATTAGGTTCGGCGCATGAAAAGCGCGGCGTCTAAATCAATGTCGAACCTGTGTCGCATATACGACTTGTCTTGTCGCATCTTCGAGTCGTGTCGAACTTAATCAAAATCTGCCGAACTTAATTGATTTAGACGCCGCTCCAGCATCGCACTTAATCCTTGCATTAGATTCGGCGCATGAAAAGTTCGCCGTCTAAACCGGCCCTTAGGTTGCTACATATATGCAACTTAATGGGTTAATTGCCTCAATGTAAGTACACATGTTATTTTAGATTTGAAGGTCACATGATACAGTACCTGAGCTCCTTTAAGAATGCTTTTTTCATAATTGTTCGTCATCACAGAAACCACTTTATTGACTTCAAACAATGCAGATTTTTTACTCTGTAAAATAAAGCAAGTGCTCATGACTTAATCAGAAGTTGCTAACTTAGTGTCAACATTGATCATAATAGTCCTAACGTTTGGGTTCAAGCCACGTGTTGAGCGAAGGCACTTTGTCAGGACATTAGCAGCAAAGTAACTTAATTGTGGCTAATAACAGGAATCTAGTCTGCCCTAGATATTTATAATAATTAGTGAGGGCCACCCTCATTGACCCTTTGGTGTTAGACTGGTCACCCTCAATAAATATTGTTATTCATTGATTCATTTATAATATGACAATAATATTTTTTCATTTTGCAATTTCAACAAACTTCCCAGTAGCTCAGTGGATACAGCGTGTGGCAGTAATGCATGAGGATGTGGTTCAAGTTCTGCAAAAGTAGTTTTACGTTTTGGAAACATAATTTTTTTTTCTTTAAAGTTTTAATTTTAATTAACTCTCTAGGGTTAGGAAAAGAGTTGGTACAGGTTTAGAGTAGTAGGGTTAGAGTAGTAGGATTAGGTTTGTGTTTAAAATTAGGGTTAGAGTAGGGCATCCCTAGAATGCCTGACTGCAGGTCGGACTAGATTCCTGTCTTTAGCCGCAAGTAGCAAAGTTACCGTATTGTAAACCCGTCCATAAAGAAACAACCGAAATGTGAATTGGGTGGTTCCCTCCATGAAATCTCACCTTATCTTTGAACACAAACGCAACGAACATCTTAAACTCAAATTGGTCAGCCAACGACTGCTTCGCATCGTTCAATTTCTTCTTTAAACGGTTCATCGTACTTGTTTTCCGTGCTCGAGGGCTAGCCATCTTTTCCAAGGTACAGTGATTTCTACTCTGCTACCTTTCTAACCAGTCTCCATATTTATTATTACACCGGTATTAATTATTAATTTAAACCATCTGATACAGAAGCTTACAATAGAAATAATTTCCTATTACAAATGCCTGTTTAAAACGTCGATTTTGGTATAAAATCTTGAGCACCGTACACCGTTTTCTTTGCCGGTATTTTTTTTTATAAAGTGTGGACTTGTGTGGTTGAATCTTCAGAAGAATGGAAGTAAAAGAACGTTAAAAGCTCCACTGAAATTGGCTTCCTTGGGTTGCAGGGACACTGGTCAAAACAATAAATTCACACGTGTAACTCCTTCGCTCTTGAGACGATTAAACTGAATAAATGCAGAACAACTGCCATGGTGTATATATTTCATCTTCACATAAATTTGTTTCGTTGTATCAACTTTCTAATTGAAATATTTTGCACAAATCAACTTTGTGATGATGTGTTGGCTCAGATGTTGGGAGTTACTGGGGTGTTTTGTATCGGGAACAAATACCCGGGGGTTACGTATCTCCTTGAGGTACGAAATGCCGATCGGCTCTTCGGTGACGTCACTCTACCGGAATGACCGGAACTTTATCTCCGGTTCACTTGTCCGGTGCTCCCTTCATCCTTTCGTGGCAAGATGGCGGCCAGTTTGCAAGTCGTGAGAACACAAGGTTTATTGTGGCGAAGGCTTTTCGGTGGAGTTAGCACGCACGAAACAAATACAGGTAGGCAAAGAACGTCTTCTAGAATGATATAAAGCAGTTTAATTGTCGATAAGTTATCTATATTTATTGATTTCATGACGATTTTGTGACATAAATATCAGGCAATGAGTGTCGTATATTGTCAAGAACCATAAAAGTCCAAAGTTCAAGTGAAGGCTGGTCTTGTTCGCAATCATTTGAACTCTTCAAACTTAATGACAAATCCTTTAATTCATAAAAATACCATGTGTTTTATTTACATATATAAAGTGTTTTATTTAAAAACATCCAAAAACACCAAAATTTAACCCATTGAGTTGCATTGCACCATACTATTTTTGTAATGACAGACAATTTTACTCATCAAGGGAAGAGTTCTGGTGCTCAATGGGTTAATCAGGCTGTCTGCCCATTTGTCTCTAGAGTTAACCCATTCAAGCCCTCGAAAACGAGATCGGCATCGGCAATTTTTTGTCAACCTGTACCAGACGGTACCTTCGTCACATCTTTTATTTTGCTCTGTATAATGCCAGGCGATTTTACCAGAGCCTGAAATAACGGCTGGCGGTTTTCCGACCAAATTCCGATTTTTCCGACCAAATGCTGAAATGATCGGAAATTTTGTCCTTCCAAATTTTGAGAAAAAGAAAAATGTTTTCTTAATGATCGGGTCGGCGCTCAGCACAGTGAGTACCATCTGTAAGTTTGGATTATCTATATTAGGCTA